CATGAGCACGGAGGAGCTTCCTGGCGACCTGTATTGACAATACAGTATTAGAGGGTCTGAGAGTTCGATGATTCTGCCAAGAAATTATCTAATGTGCAGGGATCGACCTAGCTCGCCGGATGATGAGATGCAAAGTTCACAACGTGGTTCATCGTCTGAGGCCCCCGGAATAACCCGGGGCCACACATTCAGTCTTTTACTGTCCCGCTCAATTCCCGCCCATCATTTACACCGAAACAAAAAGCTATACTCAATAGTTCCTTTTGATCAGGTGTGCATATAGCATACTGGCGGCTATTTCAAGTCATCATATGTAGGTGATTATAGTCAGTCATACTTCTGTTTTAAGCTACTCAAAGAGATCAATTCACAAGCAGGATCCCGCCCTCCCAGCAGCTTCACCTGCTTGCATCCACCCCGAGCGAGTTAGCATTCGGTCCAGCACAATCCATTAGACCACGCAGCCGTACACGCTACATGGGCATCCAAATCTCGGCTTTGCAGCTAGTGCCTTATCATTCCTGCTGTAATCTGAATATGCGGTGCTGTCTATATATATTCCGACAGATATCAATCACAGGTTGAGGCTGAGTCTGATACATTACCATCGCATCGGCTCAGTGCGGCGCGTTTTCCGTCAGATTCGAACCAATACTCACCACTGTCATTTGGCATAGTTATGATATGGTTAATGCTCGATGCATGAGGCAGAGAAGGAGAATGTGTTTTAGACGCTGAAGACAAATCAGAGCAGGGAGAGGGGTGATCGGAGGGGTGAGTGGCGTTCAAGCTGTTCTCATTTTTCCACTCGGATCTCATGTCCGGTGTTATACCCACAGTATGTGACCTTGTTTAAACCTTCGAGTGCTGATCAGCTTATCGAGTATTATCGAGACGGCAGCTTCGATGGTCACATCATACCTAGGCCTGTGTTAGATGGATGAAATCTCGCTGATATTATGCAGGTGTAGCAATTATATCTCGAGACTGGCATCGCAGAAGAATGTTGCTGGAATCATGAACAGTTCTTTGAGAAACACGCTGCTTGTTTCGTAACCAACATCTACTTTACGTGATTCTCCTTTCGACTCGATATCGTGAGGTGACACTAGCGGCTCCATCAATCACAGCAGTGATATCATCTTTCGTTTCGGCAATAAAAGCACGCGGTTGCTATCGTCCTCAATTCGCTACTTATCTACTCCCCCGTTCTCGAGCAGTATGACCCTAGTCTCAGATGATCCCATTTGGTGGCCAAGCATCAATGCAGCTCTTATTAGCAGCTATTTTATAGGTTCGTAGCGAGCTAGTCGGGTCATAACAGTGACGTTTGAACTCACCTTGCTTTCGCAGTTTTTGGCTGTGCTGGGTTAATATACGATTGGGGTAAGCAAGTTAGTATTGACGAACTGCTGATATTCTCATCCCATTTCTAGTATTGACATTCGGACATGAAGTATGTTGTTATTACCGGAGCAGCCATCTCGCTAAGAATTGCTTTGCAGGTTGAGCTGGTCTGGGTAAGCAAGGTTCCGCATCATGACAAAAATAGGATTGATTTGCGGCAGAGGCAACGGTGGTCTCTCATGACTGGCCTGTATCTCAGTGTATGTAGCTTCAGCGTGGTTTGAAAATTGGGCTGACTTGACAACCAACTAGACGCGCTATCTCGGAATAATATATGCTGTGTAGGTTTGGAATGCTAAGTAATTGGCGCTGTGCTGACTAGTCATGTATCACATCAGCAATATGTTGTTGTGTACGTCACCTTGGCCTCATACACGTGTTTGCATCTTCTGATTGATGGCGTATACTAGTTAATGTTCCGACAATCCCAATCACAGATGCAGTAAGTATCCTCCACCAATGCTTGTCATGTCCTTCCAATTAACAGTATTTCCATGTAGGAGTGAGTTATTCTTGATCAACTTGTGGGTCCAAGATAATGATCGCCACAGGTGTGAGTTTGGGTAGAGTATGCGGTCCCCAGGGGTCAATCACTGATTGGATTTGCCAGGCCGTATTTTATTTTTCGTACAGAACTGGTTGGATCTGGCTGTAGTGGCAATACTAGGCGGTGAGCTTGTAATACCTTGGTGATATTGACTTCACTGCAACGTTAAGCAAGTCATCATGATCACTCGGTTACATGCCATGTATCAGTGCAGAAATATGCTGATATTTCTCTTCATCATCTTACTGGGTATCACCATTGCCAAGTGTTTGGCCAACGCGATGTCTCTGAGGCAATTGACGTCTGGTAAGCTATAATTACGGATGAAAGACTTAATCCATCAGACTCATTAATGAATACCAGATCTGTATGTTCTCTCTGGCACCTATCAGTGCATTTTTTATGAAGGGGACAATGCAACCTTCTATTTTCCCATTTATTGGGCGTTCACCACCCTATGGGAGGTCCTCGCAATGGGTCTCGCCATCTGGATTGCCGTGAAACGTTTTCGGGAACTGCGACGGATATCAGCAGGAGGGTTTATCGGGGATTGTTTCACAGTGTTGATGCAAAGTCACTTGGTTTACTTTGCCAGGTGAGTTCATAATGCGAACGTGGCCATCTTTCGCTGCTGAAATTCTACATGTGTTAGCTTTGTTGCTGTATCTTGCATCTCTTTCAGTTCTCTGGCTCCGGCGATCTCGATGGTATGTCGATCTGTCACTCATCTCTGCATGCGACCATAGTTCATGATTTCTATAGGACAACCCATGGTCCCTGCGGGTTGAGATGTATTATGGTTTTCTTCAAGTTGTTTCATTAGTCCAGTCGTTTGTGCTGGGGCCTCGCCTGATCCTGAGCATTCGGAAATATCACGCCAAGCTCGTGGCCGACTCCGATGCGGCAACCGGCATGAGTTCAATCGCTTTCCAGGAGCACGTGCATGTGTCAACTAGCAGCAGTGTCTAGCATGAGAAACGCTCGACGTGATTCACATATGTTGGGTACTCGGCTGGGGGCGGCGGACTTCTTTCTTTTTGTTACAAGTCGTGGTACTTATTTAATCTATTGATTGGTGTTCTGAAATAGGTTTGAAGAGAAATAGGTCGGTCCATCCGATATCCTGTAACGTTGCCGAAATAGAGCCAAGCTGTCTGCGAACTTTTGGTTTCAACGCGTGCATTTCGCTTCTTGTTTTCTGTGCTGCGAAACGTTTGTGCCCTCATCGCAATCATCATCGTTTGCTTTCCTACCCCTTGTCTATATTCTATTCATTGCGTGTTAGCACAATTCAGCGGCTCGCTAGTGACCACTTGGAAGATATTTGACTTATTTGTAGCCCATCAATATCATTAGGACTGGTCAATTCTAGAAGCTCGTGTTCACTTGGGAACTGAATATAGCGACCAAAGTTATTTAAGTCTTGAGCGCTTCGTTTCTGCCTCTGTAAATTTTCCCAAGCACGAAGAAGGCCAGATGTGTCTGGCTCATAGTCTATCGCACTGTTAACAATGATCAGTGTCAAAGTGGGGTCCGGCATCAACAGCAGAAGTAGCCACCACATGATGGGTATGTTGTGTCACAACGGACGGACATGGACAACATTCTACCCCAGTTGGCAATTACGATCACCGGAAAGTACTGCCGGCACACACCACGCAGTCCCGGAACCAATCAGTCACCGCCACAAGTCCCATAACGAAGACAAGCCAATAGCGCACAGGTCGCTGCGGTTTCCTCCTCGTCGACGCAAAGTTCAGATTGTGCTCTAAAATTTGCACTCAACGATCAAAAGCTGCAGGACCGACACTGTCAGAGTACCGGCATGCTAAGAAGATCGAAAAAGAGACGCTCGCCGATACACATAACGAAAGTCTTGGTCAATGATATATTGGAGATTTCTTTGCACTTCCGCCAAGGGATAGCATTAAAGAAAGTACGAAGGGCCGTCGAAGGCTTGTGACTGTCCTGTGGAAGATCGAGCGAGCCGTTCATAGACTTCCTCATCAAAATCCGGAGTGAAAAGCTCCTTATGAGGGCCTTGCTTTCATTGCTGTACATGGTGCGTATTGTTCACCGTTGAAAATTGACGTTGACGTTGAACATGGAACGTATGACAGTTGAAGTTGACGTGACGTTGACGTTCAACATGGAACGTATGAAACGCTGAACTGGAACGTTGAACTGGGATAACGCGTGATTTCGAAACTCACCGGCTAAGAGCCAGCATCCCGGTTCCAAACAAGGGCCGTCGATGAATCTTGCCGAGTGAAGGCGGACTGGGGAGATGGCAGAACATATCCAAGTAGGCCGGCTTTACATGATGAATACCGAGACCGATTTCACGGTCTCCAGTGGCGTCAGCTACGATCTTGTCCAGAATCCATAGAACATATTTGTAATGGGGGGATGGGGACTGTGGAGAATGCATTCGACGGGGGTGTTAACGAGGGACTAGTGCCGGCAGTCACGGAATGGAGTGGCTATCTAGAGACACATCAACGTAGCACACCTGGAATGCGACTGGCAAAACATGGTTTTACCAAGTTCTGCCCACGAGTCACGTCACTTGACCTCATTTGGATCTACTAAAGGTCCCGCTAAAAGTAGCGACGCCAAATTTCTTGTACTGTACACATCCTGCAGGACTGCTAGGCTGTACTACATATATCGGGTAGTGATCATGCATCATGCGCCGCCTTGTTGTTTCTCATTGCTGCTGTCAGGAGAGACTGACGCTGAAATCAGAGATTCGCTATTACTCTTATTGGTCTGGCGCATATCCGAGTCCTGGTCATTCAAAACACAAAAGTTGAAGCAAAGTCAAGTTGCGCACTTCACTTCAAAGCCTGTACTACTGTGTAACCATGATTGGTTGGCACAAGTAGGGAGTCCCGGGTAAATAAGGGAAACAAGGGAAACCAAGGTATTGTGACGTACCTCCCAGCGCATATCTATTGATTGGTGCCCTCGCCACCGTAATGCCACGTTTCAAGATCTCACCTCCCTTTAAATGTACCACATAGCCTACTACACACGGCGAGGTCCAGAAAACGGTTGATCCTTTCAACACTGCCCAGGCAAAGTTCGTCCGCGGACTCGTATTCCTTATAAATACCCCACAAACCATCATTTAATCACCGTGAATTTCACGTCCCCTTATACACCAACTCAACGTCAGTCCATCTTGATGCCAGTCCCGCAATGGACAATCACAGACTTCACTTATCGGGAGTCGTGGTGGAAGAATCGTGGTACGAGCTTCGTTAAGCGCATACAAATTAATAATGTCCTTGACTACCCAGCCATCCTGATACTAAACATCTGTTTGATATTACCCCTCTTATCATCGACCCTTAATGGCTTTGACTCATCCATGATGAATAGTGAGTCACAACATTTCTTACCATGATTGTGAACTGTTGACTTACGCTCCCTTAGATTTGCAAATCTTGCCCGGTTGGCAAGAGTACTTCCATAAACCGCACGGCATGAAGTTAGGTGCGCAGCTGCTCGCTTTACTGTAACGGTTCTATTTACGGTCGTTAGGACTCATCAACTCCGCACACAGTATCGGCATCCTCAGCGTAAACCGTAGCACTGTTCGCATCGCTACAAAGCTCATACTGGTTCTTAGGGAACTCCATTTTCTCCTTACGTGTCCGACCTATTAGGACGGCGAGCAGCTATGTTTATCGGGGCAGCCATCATGCTAGCTGGCGTTCTTACCCAAGCCTCATGTACGACCATCCAAGTCTTCCTTGGCGCCCGTGTGCTTAGTATGATGCCCAATCAAAAGTCTACTCATTTACTCATCTTCAATTCCTCAGTCGGCTTAGGAATGGCTTTTTCCATTAATGCTGCTCCCTTACTCATCAGCGAACTTAGCTATCCAACGCATGTGCGCAAAATCATCTCGTATCTCATTCTTCAACTCTAATTATATTTAAGCGCGGAAAATTAACCTCTCTCTACAATTCGTTGTGGTACTCTGGCAGCGTTATTTGTAAGTGAGATCCGGCGTCACACATTTGGTCTCTCACATGTCTGTCAGCGGCTTGGATCTGCCTAGGAAGTTATGATGAATCGGGGACGTCAGCGTGGTCATGGAGGGTCCCTTCATTCGTTCAAGCAGCTATTCCTATCATTCAGATGTCGCTAATATGGTAAGACCGTTAGATCATACCCTGCTCAAAGTGACTCAGTGCCTTCAGGCTTATCCCAGAGAGTCCTCGGTTTTTAATGGCCAAAGGCTTGGTGAGCATTCACGAGGATACCTTCCGCCAATTAGATCATACAACGTTCATCGTTTATTTTCAGGAATCGCAAGCTGCACGTGTCCTCGCTCAGTGCCATGCAAATGGGGGAGACGAACGCAACCCTCTAGTAGCTTTCGAGCTGGCTCAAATCCGACATGCTTTGAACCTCGAACGAGAGTACGCCTCCGGCAAATCCTACCTGAGATGCTTCTCGACACCCGGCAACAGACAGCGCATGTTTACCATCATATGGATCGCAGTATTCTCGCAGTGGAGGTTTGATCGGTTTCGTTCTGGTTTGACTATTGTCGTTGATCTTCGTCTCAGCGGTAATGGTCTGGTGTCGTATTACTTCAACACAGTCTTGGATAAAGTGTACGTTTTCGAGGATTTCTAGATGGTACATAGCCTGACAGACGTTTTAACAGCGGGATCACCCAGACTAGAACGAAAGCAGCCATTAACGGCGGTTTACAGGTTCATCCATGGTCTCTCAGAAGCGAAACTCAAAATTGATGCGCATTTCATGCGTTCAGATCTTCAATTTAGCTAGTGCGCTGGTGGGCGTAATGATAGTGGACAAAGTAGGGAGAAGGAAGACTTTCTTGATTTCAAACATTGGCATGCTGACGGGTCAGTACTATTCCGTGACGCTGAATCGAAGGCTTATCATCTGTCCAGCTTTCGCTATGTGGACGGTCACGACCGCTCTTTTCTGCGAGTCCGGAGATGTGGCAGCTGCGAGAGGCATGTTCAACACCTTGCATATATGCTGGTAAAGCTAATGATCAAGCTTGAATAGCTACTGTACCGCTCATTTTCATATACTTTTTCTTCTACGACTTGGCGTACACTTCGATGCTGGTGTTGTATACGCTCGAGATCCTGCCTTATAACATCCGTGCCAAAGGGTTTGCAATCATGGTCGGTCGCTTTCGTCCCTTCTCTGAACGCTGCCTGACGTTGCATACAGAACATCGTTCTCTATTCGACCAATGCTTTCAACTCGCTCGTCAATCCAGTGGCACTGGAAACCATAGGATGGAAATATGCAAGTCATCAGATCTTATTCATGCGATTGATCGACCGACCTTTTTCGTACAGTACCTCTTTTACTGCGGATGGCTTATCTTGGAACTCCTATTCGCGATGGTGTATATCATCGACACGAGAGGTGATTGTTATCTCTTCGACTCGTCGAGCTCTCATAAACTGTTTTTGCTCTCTTCAGCTCGCACTCTTGAAGAAACCGCCGCTTTGTTCGACGGCGTCAAAGTCCGTCGGGGTATCATGGAGCGGACAGGTGAAACTGCCATGAATCTGCCTCCATACCCCAGACTTCAGGACAGTCCCGAAGCAGGGCAGACCTGGAGGAGTTCTGCTTCGCCATCGCATTTCGAAGCTCAAACCGGAGAATCTGTTGTTGGGTTTGCCAGATAAATTTATGATTACAGTGTCACGATTATTGTATGTAGTAAGCGCGCTCAAATGCTGCAGAGTTGTGTGTATTTTTGGAGTTGGCTGATTGGGGTGTTCAGACAGAAAGCGGGGCGTGTTGTTCTTATTGGGTTTCTAGGTCGTTTTGTCGATGTTGTACACCTTGAGGATTATGTTTCCCTCTCCTTCGCCACCTCTGGTACGACATGACGCCTCCCTACTAAGTCCAGGCGCTGTTTGACTGCTCACGGATCATTACTGCCAACTAATACACAGATCGACTAGATATGGGAAAATTTCTCGTTACATTGCCTTGTCCGTCATTACGTGCTCTCACAAACCAGCAATCGCGAGTTACGCAGTCAGCTCTTCAGTAAATAGTTCGCTCGTGGACTGGATGTTAGGTATAGAATAGAATACAACGTATGATACAATGTACACTCGCTGTCGCGTCTAAATTGTATCTGAAATCTCCATGATGGATATATTCCTTCGGTCATCGTCGGTACTAAGGTCTACAAGTACTGATGTTAGTAAGTGCGATAACTGGAAAGGACTATGAAGAGACTTACCCCTCTCGACACTTCTGCCAGTGTTGTCCATGTTCCATGCGGCTCAAATCAAGTTCAGCACCTCTAGGTATCACCAATGCAGTCTGAGGGCTATAAAATGGGTGACGAGAACTGAATGGCACCCAGAATAACAGCCGATGTTTGGGCCCAACCATCCACCCACTGTCATGATCCAGCAAAAAGTGAGTCGAGCTGCAGTCGTCATGGGATGCTCCCTCCATTAGCTCAGAGGTGTTGCGCAGCGCATGGATGGAGTTGGGCGAGAAGCAAATGAAGTGATTGCTGCAAGTGTTCAATGTCATGGTAGTGGCGGCCTCGATATTGCGATGTTCATTTGACAATGATGGATGATCTGACTCAGTGCACTGTTGTGACTGCTGCATCGTCTTGGCATCCCACAGCCGAACTGTGTTATCGTCTGAACCACTGACGATGCGAGTGCCGTCCGGCGAGAACGAGACCGAGCGAACATAATCAGTGTGCCCCCGCAAGGGCTCACTGACTGGCTGACCGGTCACAGCATCCCACAGCCGAACTGTGTTATCGTCTGAACCACTGACGATGCGAGTGCCGTCCGGCGAGAACGAGACCGAGCGAACATAATCAGTGTGCCCCCGCAAGGGCTCACCGACTGGCTGACCGGTCGCAGCATCCCACAGCCGAACTGTGTTATCCTCTGAACCACTGACGATGCGAGTGCCGTCCGGCGAGAACGAGACCGAGCGAACATAATGAGTGTGCCCCCGCAAGGGCTCACCGACTGGCTGACCGGTCGCAGCATCCCACAGCCGAACTGTGTTATCGTCTGAACCACTGACGATGCAAGTGCCGTCCGGCGAGAACGAGACCGAGCGAACATAATGAGTGTGCCCCCGCAAGGGCTCACCGACTGGCTGACCGGTCGCAGCATCCCACAGCCGAACTGTCTTATCCGAAGAACCACTGACGATGCAAGTGCCGTCCGGCGAGAACGAGACCGAGCGAACATAATGAGTGTGCCCCCGCAAGGGCTCACCGACTGGCTGACCGGTCGCAGCATCCCACAGCCGAACTGTCTTATCCGAAGAACCACTGACAATGCGAGTGCCGTCCGGCGAGAACGAGACCGAGCGAACATAATCAGTGTGCCCCCGCAAGGGCTCACCGACTGGCTGACCGGTCGCAGCATCCCACAGCCGAACTGTCTTATCCTCTGAACCACTGACGATGCAAGTGCCGTCCGGCGAGAACGAGACCGAGCGAACATAATCAGTGTGCCCCCGCAAGGGCTCACCGACTGGCTGACCGGTCGCAGCATCCCACAGCCGAACTGTGTTATCGTCTGAACCACTGACGATGCGAGTGCCGTCCGGCGAGAACGAGACCGAGGTAACATAATCAGTGTGCCCCCGCAAGGGCTCACCGACTGGCTGACCGGTCGCAGCATCCCACAGCCGAACTGTGTTATCCTCTGAACCACTGACGATGCGAGTGCCGTCCGGCGAGAACGAGACCGAGCGAACATAATCAGTGTGCCCCCGCAAGGGCTCACCGACTGGCTGACCGGTCGCAGCATCCCACAGCCGAACTGTGTTATCGTCTGAACCACTGACGATGCAAGTGCCGTCCGGCGAGAACGAGACCGAGGTAACATAATGAGTGTGCCCCCGCAAGGGCTCACCGACTGGCTGACCGGTCGCAGCATCCCACAGCCGAACTGTCTTATCGTCTGAACCACTGACGATGCGAGTGCCGTCCGGCGAGAACGAGACCGAGCGAACATAATGAGTGTGCCCCCGCAAGGGCTCACCGACTGGCTGACCGGTCGCAGCATCCCACAGCCGAACTGTCTTATCCGAAGAACCACTGACGATGCGAGTGCCGTCCGGCGAGAACGAGACCGAGGTAACATAATGAGTGTGCCCCCGCAAGGGCTCACCGACTGGCTGACCGGTCGCAGCATCCCACAGCCGAACTGTCTTATCCGAAGAACCACTGACGATGCGAGTGCCGTCCGGCGAGAACGAGACCGAGGTAACATAATGAGTGTGCCCCCGCAAGGGCTCACCGACTGGCTGACCGGTCGCAGCATCCCACAGCCGAACTGTCTTATCCGAAGAACCACTGACGATGCGAGTGCCGTCCGGCGAGAACGAGACCGAGCGAACATAATGAGTGTGCCCACTGAGCACGGTCTGAACAGCCGGCCAGTTCATATCACGTCCAGATGCTATGCGAAGACTATTCGGAAATCGTGCAGAAAGCATTCTTGATAGCGGAGAGTTGGCAGGCAAGAATGGGAGTGCCGATACATACAGATGCGGTGTGCTGTGTAAAATCATGCTGCCGAAGACTTGAATGAATCTCTGGACATCTGTTGCAGTCGATGAGACATCTTTGAATTCGGAATGGCCCTGATGTTGCGCGTCAGCTCTTGATCTGACACTCCATAGTAATGTACTCACCTTTAGCCACTGATGAATGAGCGAAAGGGAAGAAACCGCACCACTAAGGGCACCGATCAGAGCAAGTAATTCGAGCCAGAAAAACAGCCGTTCGTGGTCGAAGAACAATTTCACTTCTTTGGCGAGCTCCTTGTCGAACGCTGTGGTTCGTACATGCGACGTCCAGAGTCGAGAGCAATATGACAGATGTGGAGGGATACATTTTTCGACTCGTTGTTGTAGTCCAGGATCCTCACTATTAGGTAGATACGATGACTTTAAATCACAGATATTGAAGCGCAGGCCGTGTTCCATCACTCGGAGCGATGCAAATGCAAGGTTATGTTGAGCCTTTGATAAGTCGATGAAAAACTCCCCGCTGGATGGTTCATCTGTCAAGAAATCGCGGAAGGACGCGTGAAGGGGTCGGATTGGGGAATCTGTATTGGTGGTACCGCTGAGGAGGGAGCCCATGCTTTTTACAACAACCTCCACGTCAAAATTGTCCTCTTGAGTTGGAAAATAGCGCCTCATGGCGTTCAGGGAATTTATAGAAAGGGGTTCTGCTGTGGCTAGTATTTGTCCCACCACCGAGCGGAATCTCGCTAGCGCTGTCGAACGTGATTTCTGTGAATGCTGGATATGGGTAGATGTATCCTTGGGCATGACATTCGTTAAAATGAGGCCGTACATGCTGTACAACAGCATGCTTCTCTCAGCAGGATCGCGTGACACCACAGCGTTGTAGCAGTCATTTGGAAGTAGGCCCACATGGGAGCCTTTGATGTACTCGCAGGCAAGACGCGCCCATTCGAAAAGTCCGTCAGCTTTTTCAGCGAGGACCGCGAACTGTCCGTGCTGGAAATCTAGCTTCTCCAACTCCTTGGATACGTAAGTACGGATGTCGCGCTTTGCGTCTGCTGTTGGGATGTCATCCATGGACACCTGTCGAATGTGCTCAACGCCACGAAACTCGTCTTTGATGTCACCGAGCGGGCGAGAGGTGACGATGAAGCGGAAGTTGTGTGGGAGATTCGTGATTTTGGGAACGTCGGGGTTTTGATGTGTGCCAGCTAAAATGCGGAGGAGGTCTCTCCGCGTCTCTGCTCCGCCGCTCTCGTCTAGCGCATCGATCATGATCACAATGGGTCCCGCGGTGGACCCAGATGACTTCTCCAGCGGTTCGATCAGAAGCTTCTGCCACTGCTGAGTGATATCCGCCGTATTCTTCAGCGAATTCGAGGTCTGAACTGCATCTGCTAATGCCCGCCTCATCTCCGGGTCATGGTCAGCCAGGTCGCGCGCGATCGTGGAAAAGATCTTTTCGTGGCGACGGTCTGCTTCTCGCTGACGGTCAAAAGAGTAGCACGAACCGAGCCCCCCCACGTCGTTGAAACACTTAGCAATGGTGTGGCCGATGGCTGACTTTCCCGTACCTGCAGGGCCGGATAACCACAGCACGCGTGGAACGTTGTCCTCAGTGCTGTTGACCCATTTCATAATTTGGGAAAGGATTTCTGTGCGCGTCCCTTGGAGACATTGTTTCCTGGTATCCAGGCCTGCGCCGGCTGCATAAGTCATACCACTGAGATCCAGTATGTCTCCTGAAAAGGTATGAGTATATGTCAAATCACAAGCACGTCTGAACGCGTACCCATACGGTGGATATGTATGGCTACGTCGTGAGCCACTTGGTCCCGGAAATCTTTGCATGAGCGTATCCAACACGCCACTGTACTGTTGGATCGTATCGTTTGTTTCTGACACGACGTTCTTTCCGAGTCTCTTCCCTGTGATATCAATAGAAACTTGAGACGGTGCAAAGCGTAACAGCTTCTTAAGACTCACAAAAGTTCTTGGTCTCCGAATATTTTTGGATAAATTGAGCACAGTCGAAGGTCTGTTGGGAGATCTGTCCGAGGATAATGCGCATCGACGAGATTTGGCTAAGCATCTGATCTTGTGTTATAAAGCTGTAAACTTGACACAACTTCTCGAGAAGTTTGAGTACCGCTGCATCGCGGTCTGCTTGAGCTAGAATAATCTGCGTGAATGATTGCTGAGCGATGTAAGATAGGAAGA